AAGACCTCAGATGGGTGATAAAAGCAAAAGAAGAACATCAGCAAGAACCTGACTGGGCGGAAATGTCTGCGTTGTCGTCCAGGGCGAAGACTTATAGGCGCCACTGGGGCCAACTTGAAATCCGCAGTGGTGTTCTCTGCCGGAAATGGGAATCAGACGACGGGCGCGAGGTGAGATGGCTCACGGTGCTACCAGCGAAATACCAAGACGAAATGGTGAATCAACTACATGGCAACACATCTGGAGGACACTTGGGCGTAAGAAAAACCTTGGCTAAAGTTAAGGTGAGATTCTACTGGGCTGGAATTTCGGCAGACGTTCGATCCATCCTCAGGCGATGTAATGTCTGCGCCCGTAAAAAATCACCAACAAAGCCCAGAAGAGCTCCCCTGCAGCAAAAGATGGTTGGAGCGCCTATGGAAAGGGTTGCCTTGGACGTACTTGGTCCTTTACCGGTTACCGAGAGAGGGAACAAGTATATACTGGTGGTGGGCGATTACCTGAGTAAGTGGACAGAAGCCTACCCGATCCCGGACCAAACGGCAAAAACAGTAGCCGATAAATTCGTGAAAAAGTTTGTGAGCCGGTATGGTGTGCCCGAGGTTCTACACTCCGACCAAGGTCGTAATTTTGAGTCCCAGGTCTTCGCAGAAATGTGTCGCCTACTGGGCATCGAGAAAACGCGAACGACGCCGTACAATCCGAAGAGTGATGGGATGATTGAGAGATTCAATCGCACACTGGTCACAATGGTTTCTATGATGATAGAGCCCCACGGACGACAGCGAGATTGGGATGAAAAGATTCCACTGGCAATGTTTGCCTATCGTGCCTCACCACAGGAATCAACAGGTGAATCGTGAGGTGCGCCTTCCCATCGATTTGGCTGTTGAACAACCCCGTGATGACCAACAAGAGGTTGAAGGCGAAGAGACTGACTATGCGCAACAACTGAGGGAGCAGTTCAGACTCGCGCACGGTAGGGCACGTGAATATCTGAAGCGGAGCGCCAGAAGGCAGAATACTCATTACGACAGACGATCTGTGAAGTATAACTTGGTGGCTGGAGATTTCGTGTGGCTGCACAATCCGGCAAAGAGGAAAGGCTTGTCGCCTAAATTGCAGTGCCGATGGGAGGGTCCGTATCTCATCGTGCACAAGCTGTCCGATGTCATCTTCCGAATTCAACGTAAAAAGGGTGGAAAGATGAAAGTTGTGCATCGGGACCGCTTGAAGTCCTACATAGGAAATCCCCTAGTCTCATGGATTGAGAACACAACAGAGGCTAATGCAGACATGCTCAGCCAACAGCAGGAAACCAGCGTTCCAGCACAAGCGGAAGACAATTCCAGCGGGCAAATAGAGACGCCTACGACAGGGAGGCGAATTCCAAACCCAACCGCCCGTCCTTTCACCCCCAGAGTGTCACCAGAGGGCTATCACCCTACCCAGGAGACACCATCGATTGTGATTCCAAGTCCCAAAACCCCATTGAGGCCATACTGAGACCCCATTACCGCGTCAGAATCCCCCCCCCCCCAGGCATCGCAGGGTGCCCCAGAGATATCGCTAGATGTGAGAGATTGTTGTGAGAGCAAGAGAAGGTGAAACACACATTAATGAAATGCACCACTCTTGCATTTTCCCTACAGAGTCTGTACATACTCGCCATGGGCCGAGACAGTCAAGAGAAGTCCAGAGATGAGGCGGACCAGGACCACACTAGGTGCCCCAAGTGCCACGTGAGACTTCACAAGAAAAGCCTAGAACGCCACCTAATTACCGAGCATGGGCCGCGATTGTACTACTGGTGTAGGCGCTGCGCCGAAGGGAAAGCAATGCCGAATCCAAGGACAAGGCCACATCGGGCAAGAAATGCAAGTATGAACAGGCAGAGGACTTCCCCAGTAAAGATCGTGGCAAGGCTACGAAGAAGGCGAAGACTCCACAAAGCACGGTATCGAAGGCGCCAGCTGACGATGTACAGCCAAAGCTAGGCGAGGCTACGAAGAAGGCGAATACTCCACCTAGCACGGTATCGAAGGCGTCACCCATTGGAGAAAGTGCATGGAGAGCCTGCAGGGCACGGCTCTTCCAAAACAGAGTTGGATGCGGGACCGCTCCTAGCAAGTGAGGACATCCTCGAGATAGCGGTTTCGCCTACCTTATCCATGCTGTGGGACAGCATGCCGGCGGAAAATACCCCTAAGCCACAGACAGGAGGGAAACCTTTGAGCCTGGTCCGGCAACTGCAGCAGGATCCCGATGATGTCGAATCGATGTGTAGCACTGCCACTAAACCAGAGGAGCCGATACGGCAACCAGGAGAGATACCCCTTGGGAAGTTCTTTGCCGGGCAAGTCGTGAGGATCACCGAGACGGAGAAGACAGATACTTACCTTGGGGAGATGCGTACCCCTGCACGATTCTGCATCCCGTCACTACGATGTAGTCGTACTGAGAGAGGCTAGCGAGCCTGGGAAGGCGGGCCACACTTTTGAGTCGCCACCCCCGGTGAAGATTCGTAGGATCATCGTGGACAAGGACTCGAGGTCAGAAGGCGTGGGACCCTCCATTAACAACGCACAACTGGAAGGCTCCATGATTGGCAACGTGACAAAGATCACCGAGAGGAAGACCCGTAGTCTGTACCATGGAGGACTGTTGGTTACCCGAGAGGAAACCGAGCGCGTTTTTGATGTTAATTTTAAAGCTGGGTTTTGAGTTCACAAGTTAACAGAAACCAGGAGTTTCACCTTAGACGCCTTTACATCTTTTTAAGTTCACAAGTTAACAGAAACCAGGAGTTTCACCTTAAACGCCTGACACCTTGAAGTTTGCAAGTTGTTTAATTAAGTTTACCGATTAAGCTTAGGAGTTGTTTAAACTTAGTGTTTACATGTTAACTTTATTGAGGCCATAAATTTAAGAAGTGTTTATAAAAGTCGAACAGTTTGAAGTTTAATGTTAATTGAAGTTATGCTGTATAGCTAGGAACCTATCTAGGACCAGGAAGTCCAGTAGAGATCACCTTATGTCAAAATTTAAGAGACTTTAGGTGGACCAATGTTTCTTTTATTTATTTTTGTATAAGTTTATTGGTCTGACCAAACTTAAGGCGAGGCTGTGTAACGAAACATTGGACATAGTGCCAGTCTAGGGTACTGGTGCCCGCGTCGGTGGTCTCCGCGCTGCTACTGTCTATGCACGCGCTGCCCGCGGGTATAAAAGCGTGCGTCAGCCGCGCGCGCGATACTCACTCACTCACTCTGTCAATCACAAGCTGAGTCACAAGCAGAAGCGCATGACACGAGTTATTTCTTGGGTGAGTCGTCAGTCAGTTTCATGCAGGTCTGACAGCGCTGCAATTGATTATCCGCTAGCGAGTTAATCTAGAAGAGGGACCAACCGGACGGGCTGCCTTTACATCACTAGTTGGTGAGTTTACTGGCCAGGAAGAGTTAAAATAAGCAGCCAACATTGTGTCCACGTTAGAGTTAGCGATAGACGCCTATATAGGAGTCGCCTGTCAAGGCGCACACAATAAAACACCATTGTTACGTTATATAAAGAGGACTGAGACTTAATCATTGTCTCCTGTGAGTTATTGGGCCTAATAGGGTGAGAGTGATTGAGTGCGAGTATCGCTGGTCCACTGCAATGCCTGGGGTAAACTTCCTCCAAACGAGGTAACGTCCCGCGTTTCCCGGTAACCGCTCATCGGGAAAGCCTAATCCTGTCAGCGTCCGTCCGGCGGCATCTCCCGGCTGGAGGCAGGGACGAAGTATAGGCGGACCGTTACAGTATACTCTGTCCAGAAAAACAACAGCTTTATCATTTTTGAATGTCACTTCATCTTTTGTTATAAATGTAATTTAACACGAAGCATAAATGCCAAAGTTGTTGTTTTTCACCAACATAAACCATGCACTAAACAAGGGGTTGCCTTGTTTATTGTGCCTTTTGGATTCTTGCTAATACTTGCTTAAGGTTTTGAATGGATCAGGATGATATTTGGTTTTGAAATTAAGAAGCAAATTGAAAATGATGAGCGGTGACTAAAGCTCTTCATCACCTGTTAGCAACCATTGGTTACAGCAAGTATGAATATGTGTTGAATAATGGCAAACAATTGAATTACCACTCTTTCTCCCTTTCTCATTCTCTCTCCGCCTTTGCAGGCGATGCTGTGCATGATGGACAAGATTCCAACATAACATTTTTCGTGTCCTAATTTAGGCTAATTGCTTGCACAAAAACCCCTTCAAGTTGAAATGCATGAGTCCATTATGTGTGATATTAATCTGTTCTTAATAATAATAATAAAAATAAAATCTTAATAATGTCCACTGCAAATATATTTAAAAGCAACTATCTTCAGACTGCTGTCTCCTCTTGGTATAGTTCACCAGCTTAAAGATTGCCTAATAATTTTTCAGGGTAAGATTTTTTTAAAATCCTTCCAATGAAACTGAATATTTTGAAGCGTGCATTATGTGTCAATAATCTATTTGTAGATGTCCAACAAAATGATAAATAAATACAGAAACCAAGCATTTGACTGAAAATTGTATGGAAATAACATGGACATAGTTTTACCACTGCCTTTTAGGCGATACAAATTTATCTTTAATACCCTATGAACGAAGAGTTTTCTTCAAGTAACGATGGAGTTTAGCCTCTTAAAATCTCAGATGAAGCATTAAAAGTCTCAGTTGTAATCGATTCATTGTGATTAATTTTGTAGCGTTTATAGTGGAGATAGTGTCAGGGCGGCCCATTTTATGAATATCAATTATCAATGTAAAACATATACATAACCTCTTAATCTTTTAAAATTCCTTAATTTTAAAATTCAGAAATACCTGAATTCATCAATAAAGAAGTTCTGCTAAATTAAGAGTAGCTTGTCTGTATGATTTATTTTTATTAAGGGTTTAAATGCATGCAGTTGCAGCCACTGAAGCGTGAAAAGTTACATAAGTGGGTCCATCCACGTTTTCAACATAACCATATAAACCTCCCTTAAAATGAAAAGATATAAGAAATTAGCTATTGTTCAGGGTCACATTGCAGGAAATGCAATACCAGTTAAAAGAAACTGCAATTTTGACATTTGAACTTGTACATGTAATACCACAATCCTCAAACGTGTTTAATTTGTACAAAATAAGTACATGTGTAGCGGGGATGATATAGTCAAATGCTATACGCCGACACAATTAATTTTTACCGGTTATACGCTTGTGTATTTTGCTTGAAACCAGTGAGTTTTATTTCATTTCCGTCTAAAAAGGGATAAGATTTCAAACGTTGTATATCTAATACAAATATCCTCAATAAAGAATATTTATATTACAAAAGAAAAGAAAACCCAGGGTTCTAATAATTACAAAACAATTAATACAATTAATACAATGAATATAAAAAGGGATGACTAAAGGGCCTATCTTGACGGGACTTGCTTGACTTGACGGAACTTGACGGGACTTGCGGAACGTGACGGGACTTGCTTGACTTGATGAAGGGAAACTTGAAGACTTGACTTGACTTGACTTGATGAAGGGAAACTTGAAGAATTGGAGACTTGACTTGATGACGCTCTCAATACTTTGAACAGTGAGAGCAAGACAACTGGACGAAAACGGGGTCCAAAAGGATATGTCTATACCCCTTCTCTAGCTGTCAGTTTATGAATGCAAACTGTCCAGTTAAGCACTCGTGTCCTTTGTTCCTAGATCAGGACTGATAGTGGGGGGGCCAATGTACTTCCGTTGGCATGTCATGTTAATTTATGGCAACCATTATAAATGTAATCTTATGAGTCCTGAGAACAAGAAAATTGATGTTGCCATTTTTTCCATTGACCTTTAGTGACCTTGACCTGAGGTCAAAGTTCATGGGTCATTTTCCACCTAAAATTTGCCTTTCGGAAGGGTTTGCGAAGATTTTCGAGGCAAGTCAGCACATATTGTATTTGGTTGAGAGTTTCTCCATTATAATAAATGTTATTATTAATGTATTTATGGGTTTTCCTGAAGAAAACATGGAAAAATGTCACTTTTGCCCGAAAAGGGCCGGGTTGTTTTGACCATCTCACGCAGATTCCGCCCCCCCATGACCTCGGCCATCGAGTGACGAAAAATTATGAAACTCCGTACATGCATAGAACAACTTAACATGAACAAACCCAAGAAATTTCATGACTATGGGTCAAAGGGTTTTGGAATTACGGCTAATTAATTATTCATAAGCACGTATGGTAATTCAATTTTTGGTATCAAAAGATGTGCAAGACTCGAGGCTAAAAAGTCAGGACAGCTCAGGCCGCGAAATAAATAACTTTTCAAGAGTATCGCGAAAAAAGTTGAAAGGGGGGAAATCTGCCCCCCTTTTAGGGCCAAAATATGACCAACCCTTTAGTGCCTGGCATCTAAATATGAAATTGTTGTAAAGTGTCCTCTGCAGTACCGCACTCACACAGGGTGTTTGTCGGTTGAGGAAAATCCCCACTTCTTCATGGTGCTTTTGGTGCGAGCCACTCCAGAGCGGATGTGATTTAAGCACCTCCAGGTCTTCCATCCTAATGCCACCGCCACAATCCACAAAACAGCCCAAGCCACGCATAATTATCGGGGATTTAATAGCCACAGCAGCATCATTGGCTATCATTCCAGCACAGACGTCGACGCTTTTGAATTGGTGGCCGAAGCAAGTCAACTGAGCCTTATTCACAATCAGGCATGCAACTTTTCCTCGGATCAGCTGATTTCCTCTTTTTTTATTCTCATTTTTGCCATTTAAAATTGAAAATCACTGTACAAAGTCTTCTGAATTTAGGAATTTCCTCTTTTTTGGTGAGTTTACAGTTGCATGCCTGCACAATGCGAAACTGTCAAAGTTTTTCCACAGTGGAGGCTGGAGATAAAGTTTCAACCCTGCTCTAGCCCTTGTGAGCCACAACATCACCTCACTTAGCAACAAGATGGTCCTTGACCCCATTCCAAAGACCCGACATCGCCCTATTGGAATCAAAGTGACTGCTGCTGTCTCTTCGCAACAATTCCATTCCACCGCTGTTTCAACTTAGTAAGGCTAACTGTGAAGGCTTCACCAATGAGCTCAAACACCACCTAGCTGACATTGATCCAACCCCTAATAACTATGACACCGGTTTGTTGATGTGGTGGTGCAAGAACATCCCTAGGGGCTGCCGTTCTGATTACATCCCCGGCTTAGCATCCCGTAGTGCTGAACTTTACAGGAAATAGTAACGCATGTATGAAAACGACTCTCTTGCTGTCGATACCATCTCATCTGGGGAGGAATTAATAACAGCCATATCAGAACAGCTTCAAAGCTTGTGGCAAACCCTTGTGGTAACCACCAATATGGCCAAGAAGCCAATATGGCCTCCAAGCCTGGAGTATAATATAAAAAAAGGCTCAGCCAAGTGAACAGCATTGTAACATCACCGCCAACCAAATAGCCCACAACAACTGCTATTTAAATGGCAAAGTGCCACGTTCTCCTAATAAGCGACCGAAAGCCAAGCTCCGCCAGAAAGACCCCGCCATCGACCTAATTGGCTTCATCAAATCCTTCTCTGCTAATGAACTTGCGACTGGCATAAATAAAGAATAGGAAATCAACCAAACTGGATAACATTTTCACCAAAGAACTGAAACATCTTGGACCAAACGCCTCAAATTGGTTACTCCAGCTCATCAACACCTGCCCCGCCACACAAACAATACCTAAAGTGTGGCAAAAGTCGAAGGTCATCGCCCTCCTAAAACCCGGGAAAGACCCAATGCATGTCAAAACTTATCGTCCCAAAGTCACACATTCAAGTTGCTGGAATATTTCCTCCTCAACCTTCTTGCCTCTTCATTGAGAAACAACTGATACAGGAACAGGCAGGCAGGCGTCCGTCCCGGCAAATCTACAACGGGACAGCTTCTAAACCTCACTCAGTACATTAAGGACTGCTTCCATCAGAAAAAAAATAGATCACCGGCGCTGTCTTTGTTGATCTTACAGCTGCTTTTGACAGTGTTAACCGTTGCTGACTCCTTCAGAAGATCCTGGACATGAAGGCAGACCTGACCCTTACCCAGTTTATTGGTGTTCTACTGAAGAACCATCGTTTCTTTGTAGTATTCAAAGGCAGAGTAGAGTACGTCTTCAAAGGAACGGTCCCCCAAGGGAAGACGTTGACCGATGCTCTTGACCAGTCACAGCAGTGCTACACTGTGAGTCACCTGAAAGCGATCAACCCTGCTATTAAGACCCAAGTGTGTACCTCCTGGATTGACCAGGCTGGTGGCGTCTCCCCCACTACATGAGATGCCAATCAAGCCTGCAGAAGCCTTACCTACAGGATCCAATGCAGGATGGAAGACCTGGAGGTGCTTAAATCACCTCTGCTCTGGAGTGGCTCGCACCAAAAGAAGTGGGGATTTTCCTCAACCGACAAACACCCTGTGTGAGTGTGGTACTGCAGAGGACACTTTACAACATTTCATATTTAGATGCCAGGCACTAAAGGGTTGGTCATATTTTGGCCCTAAAAGGGGGGGGGGGGCGGTTTTCCCTCTTTCAACTTTTTCCGCGATACTCTTAAAAAATTATTTATTTCACGGCCTGAGCTGTCCTGACTTTTTAGCCTCGAGTCTTGCACATCTTTTGATACCAAAAACATAACATTCGAAACACAGGTTGCCGCGCAGCGAAATATTTTCGGCGCTACCCTCCGTCAAAACTGAATTTCCCCATATATACGTAGTGTACACATTTGAATTACCATACGTGCTTATGAATAATTAATTAGCCGTAATTCCAAAACCCTTTAACCCATAGTCATGAAATTTCTTGGGTTTGTTCATGTTATGTTGTTCTATGCATGTACCAAGTTTCATAATTTTTCGTCACTCGATGGCCGAGGTCATGGGGGGGGGGTGGAATCTGCGTGAGATGGTCAAAACAACCCGGCCCTTTTCGGGCAAAAGTGATATTTTTCCATGTTTTCTTCAGGAAAACCCATAAATACATTAATAATAACATTTATTATAATGGAGAAACTCTCAACCAAATACAATATGTGCTGACTTGCCTCGAAAATCTTCGCAAACCCTTCCGTAAGGCAAATTTTAGTTGAAAATGACCCATGAACTTTGACCTCAGGTCAAGGTCACTAAAGGTCAATGGAAAAAATGGCAACATCAATTTTCTTGTTCTCAGGACTCATAAGATTACATTTATAATGGTTGCCATAAATTAACATGAAATTTCGACGGGAACCCAAATCTGCACATTGGCCCCCCTACTATGAGGATGAATACATGAATATGGCAGGTTCAGTTGGAGGGTTACGGAAGACAGTTTAAACAGTGAAGCTGGGTTCTTCCAACTACCTGTCTCTGTTAATTGCAGTTCAGTGGTCAAGTCAATATCAATATTAATTTCATAAATTACTAAGTAAATGGATTCTACAAAATAAGCAAAAGTGAAAGTCCCTTTAAACAAGAGGCTGTGTGTAACGTTGTCATGGTCACCAGTGCTGGTCAATGCCCTCTACCACTAGTGCGCATATGTACGTACATGCACATGTACATGTAGGTTGGTCTTACCCAGAAGTGAGTAAGGTACCCCAAGGACATTATACCAAGACCAATGCCTCAGGCATGACAAGGTTATACCTGTTGCATCACAACACTTACAACAATTCAGTGAATTCGAATGACGCATAATAAGAAAGTAAAAGTTGATCAGGATGGAAAATACCAAGACCCTGAATAATCAAATTAATCTTAAAACAAAAAGGAATATAGAAAATGAAAACTTGGATATAGAGAAAATACAGAAAAAGGCTAGCTACTGAAACAAACTAAACTAAAATCAAACTTTAAAGGCTATATAATTCTAGATATATCAAGTAAAATGAATACACTTATCAAATGATCAAAGAGAACTGTTACAAATTCACAGAATTTTGTACTAAGGAAATAATTCCTCTTTTCACTCTAGTCAAAACTAACTGAAAATGATTATAAGATAGCTGATTGTCTTTTGGAATATGCCAAAAAGTTAACCAAATAATCAGTGGATGTCTATAATAATAAATCATGATTTTTGTACATGTAGTCCTACAAACTCTTCTTTCTTAAATAAAGTTCCACTTTATTTAGACTAGAGTCGCCACAGGTCTTTTGTACAAAAATGACAAATCTTAGTACGTAAACTTTCAGATCAATCAAAGAAAATCAAAGATAACTCAAACAATTTAGAGAATCGATCAATTTGGAATTTGTTCTACTTTCAGAGAACATGGTTACTTCTCAAATCAAGTTATGTGAAAATAAATGCATCAAACATCCAAAAGAAAATAGTGCTTGCTTCAAGAAATGACAACAACGAAATCATAAAAAAAATTGTCAACTGCAGTGAGAACTTCTCAAGTGGAAATTGGCCAAAGTTGGAATGTCCAAGAACTTAATATTCATCTATTAAACTTAACAACACTCTCAACTCAATACAGTGATGGATTGAAAGGAACATAATAGTAATAATAACAACATGTTACGACTCGGTCTAAACTTCGAGTAAAGAATAAACACTTTAACCTAGGAGTAAAAGTAAGATAAAAGTATTATCGAACTCACCTAGAGCAGGACAGAGGATGAATACATGAATATGGCAGGTTCAGTTGGAGGTTACAGAAGACAGTTTAAACAGTGAAGCTGGGTGCTTCCAACTACCTGTCTCTGTTAATTGCAGTTCAGTGGTCAAGTGAAGGGAAAGTTCACTGGCCACCGAATTTATACAGTTCCTCCTCAAGGACTATTGTGGTTGGTTGCAAGTTCTGCTACCAACCGCCCACACGCGCTGCCAAGCAACCCACACACTTCTAAGAAAGTGAATGACCTAAGTCTGGGGGAGTTAGGAATTCGAAAAAATGGGGGGCACAAAATTCATCCTATTACACATGATATAGCAAGTTCCACCATTAGTCGATCTAAACCGAGGCGGCCACGCTGATTGAACGTATTCACTGACAGTGCGCGTATACATGCGCGTAGAATCGCGCGAAGTGCTTTTGGCCTCGTTTTCAAGTTTGGCGAATCCACTGACCTCTGCGTTTTGCGTTTTCACGAAGTGGCGAATCCGTTTCGTAATTAACAGCTCTTAACTTAAACTACACATCCATTGCAGAAATATGTATTTGGTCATGTCATTTAACTAATGAGCTGTCGTATCAATGAAAACTATTTTGAAGTTTGGATTAAAAGTGTGGCGAAATGACAGTTTCAAAAAGTGACCAACTTTAAACCGATTTCCTCACAACGCAGTGTTTGCGATGTGTGGGCGGATTTCGCCACTTCGTGAAAACGCCGACAAATTCTCTGATGCATAAAATAAAAAGTGAACAATGACACGCTTTTTGACGTGATTTAAAAGAAAAATGTCAATTATAATTAGGTTTTTTTTGCTTACAATGTCTGAATGCGATCTTATGATATTGATGGCGGGGGTTTCTAGCTACGGGCTGAGTTAGAATTTACCAATAGTGACTCAGTACAATTTGACGGTTCTGCTCGAAGACCAGTTTGGTATCACTTATCCAAGCCAACATGCAGGAATGGCTGGCTTCCATGAGGCAATCTGTGAACTTATCGATCTTGAAACTGCCTTTAGATTTCTTCGAAGGGTCGACCATCCATAATCCGTACAAGCATGAGCCCTCAGAAGACCACCATGTTGTAACCAGCTTGTTGCCATGGAAACAAACGGGTTGCATGAAACTACGGTTACTAGTCATGAAGGTCCCGATTCGCTCTCCGTCCAGATCCATTACTGTAACAGCCCAAGAATTTGAAAATACAACAAGCAGCTGACCATTGAACACGCAGGAAGTCGCTAGAGCGAAATTTGTCTGCTCCTCTGGATCAATTGGTACAGCAAACGTCTTGACGCACTTCCCTGATTCCAGGTTCCAGACCTTTACGACGAAATCTGTAGAAACGCCGATGACCATACCATCTCCGAGATGGCACGATATCGGTACCAAAATACCTGAATCGATCTCATGTAAGCAAGCCCCACTGCGCGCTTCCCAAATTCGAAGCAGATTACCATTGTACATTCCTGCTATGATCTTGTCCTTGTAGTCCAGGCCAGCGAGAATCGAGCCGCTCTTGAGGATACAACGACGGGCCCCATCTGCAGCATTCCAGACCCAAATATCATTGTCTGAGAAACGTCTATACCTAACTCCTTCTGGAGTAGCAGCACTAACAATTGTGTCACCATCAAAGAAGAGACGAGACACAGTAAGACGATGCCGCTCCGACATGACTTGCAGCTGCTCTCCAGTTTGGGCGGAATAGGTACGAATTGAACCGTCACCGTATCCTGCAGCTATGACGCCGCTCTTCATCTTCAAGGCTTCGGGCCTGTTGCTGATGTATGCATCAATGACATGTTGACGTTCTCCGTGAGAAACGTCCCAGATCTGCAACGTGCTTTTGTTGATACCTGCAACTAGAGAGTCTCCTTCGCCTGCCAGATTGCAGACGGACGGTTTATCTCTAGTACGTGCAAAAGCATCGTCAGAATCGTATTCGTTACTGTCGGACATATAAACTTCGTCCTCATCTAGGTCGGACGGTTCTTCCGGGTCATAGTCTTGATAATAGGCTGGGCCTTTCTTAGGCCTGATTCCCTTTAAGCCAAACTGAAGTGTTGCGACAAAGAAACGGTTTTTGTTCCAGTTTTCTTCAAGGTGCTTTGCCTTCATGTAGACTTCCTTCCATTTACAAGTAGTCACGAGTTGAGGCCAGTCTGAGCCGGTTACAACCGCATCGACTGGGAATGTAGGAGCGCCTCCTTCACCCATCTCCTGCTCTTGTAAAGTAGGTTTAAACGGAACCTCTTTGCAAATATCTTGAACTGTACCATAGCGCTCCCATCCTTTCTCTTGACATAGAGGGCGCCACAGGGCATCTTGATTGGCTGCTTCTCTCCAGGATCGATTACATAATGCCACGTGACAGAGATCCTTGACCGTCATGTCATTCAAAATCATCTTCTTCAACTCGGATGGAAGGCTGGTAAAGTAATCTTTAGACGCAGGAAGGGCCATGGTAGCTGTGCAAGAAAATCAGTATGTGATTTCACAGTGAATAGGTGGAAATGAAAGGGGAAAATCGGTCCTATGAACAGGAATGCATGTCCTCCTTAAATTGCCTTTAGGCGTTTTCATAAATTATTAGCACCATACATGTGCCTCATAGTTTCCTTTACACAGAGCGATTAAAATACAGCGGAACCCGAAACGCCAAAACATATTTCATGTTAAAAAATAAAAAGTAGCACTAAAAGTAACAATGACTGGAAAGCCAATTTCATAAACTACTTTTAGATGAAAACAATGCTTAAATTTGCAGAGTCCGTTCCTAGAATATCTCCATTTAAACGCAATGACCCTAAAACCTGTTTCGTCACACACACAAAATGAAAAAAAAATATTGTGTGATCTGATTGAAAAAGAAAGAAAATGACACATAATACTTGTTTCATCAACAATTGTTGAAACAAGCACATTGTGTCATTTCTTTACTGTAACAACAGACTGTAGTACACATTGTCTTTATTAACAACCAGCTAGGGTGTAGCAAGGTCATATTTACTTCCTGGAAAAAAGGGCACTTGCACATCCGTGCTGAAATGTACCCACTTTGCCTCCGTAAAATCAAATAGTGTGAGTTTGTTTATATTGTAAATCGAGGACACACATGTGCAACATATTCGGTGAATCGAGGACAGGGACCAAATCGAGGACGACCTTGATTAGAAAATGTGAACAAAACAAATGAGAGCTGTTGCGAAAAAAGGTGGGGTACAAACAAAGGAAAAGGGAAGAGGAACAAATGACAATACTCGATTTACACCATAAACAAACGTTGCTGCGTTATACCCGTGTGTGTGCGTGTTGGGAGGGGGGGGGGGGGGGGGGGTGGAGGGAGGGACCGGTACCATGCATCCGTCGATGGGGGCAGTGCTCAAAACCGACAATTACGCACACAAACGGACAATAATGGTGCTTTTCAGGTGCGAAATTCAAAACAAAAGTCAACCATTACAGCAAATGGCGAATGACACAGAAAAGGGCACGATTTCTTTTTAAACGGGCACTTTCCAGAACAAAAAGGCACGTGTTACCAAAAGAAGGCACTCTTTACAAATCTGGGGGGGGGGGGGGTTAAAGCGCCGGTCGAAACAGGGCATTTGAATGTAAAGGGAAGTCTCTACGCCCATGACAACCATGCTTAGGCAACAATGTGATTTGTAAAATCCACTGGTTTCCAACTGAATAAGACGGGCCTTCAAAAGGACCTTTTATTGAATACTTTTACTTTGAAACTGATGTTTATCGCTGGTGATGTTTGAAGACAACTTGAATGATGATTCGTGAAATCCCTTTTGTTGACGAAAGAGCTTTTAGGATCATTCTGTTTAAATGTTCTGTTTAAACTTTAAACGGATTGATCAATATATAAGTATTGTATTCATCTAAAAGCAGTTTATGAAATTGGCTTGCCAGTCATTATTATTTTTGGTGCTACATACACATTAATTGTTGGAATTGGGTCAAGAACATTCAGTTTTCTACCTATTATTGAATTGGCATTAACATGGCATTGTTTTTTGGTAAAATCTGCTGTACTCTGCAGAGGCTGATCCATTCTTGGTGGGGGCGATAGGTTTGTATAGGAATGTTCCCCTTTTCCTGCATGCATATCTGCCTCTAAACGAGATAGGAAGGGTTAACCCCCCCCCCCCCCCCCCCAGTTGCCACAGCCTTGAAGTTTTGTCTTGGGTTAAAACCGATTGCAAAGAAAATGACTTTTTTTCTGGATTAAAGTACTGATAAGTGGATTTTAAGTGGATTACAGATTGTTTTCTTCTGTGATTCATTTATTGAACAATTATTCATAAATTCACTACATAGTATAGGTCGACATTGAAGGTACAGCCTTTTTCCTAGTTCCAAATAGCAAACATCAGCCAGGCTGCTTTCGGCTCAAATTCTCCACGAATTCAAGTGGCATTGGTTAAAAAGTTAACCTTGGGTGATGGAGATACTGTAAAATAATTTTCCAACTTTGAGCTCTTTTTATTTTGACTTTACGATGTCAAAAGTACCGATGCTTCTTTTTCTAAATCTGGATTGGTTTTAATTAGTTCCGAATCAATCAAAAACTGCTTCGCGCGAAAATCTGCAGCGCGACGGCATAAGCACACGCGCGGACCGAAAACCCTTGACACCTTTTTTTTTTTTGGCGGATTTTGCAATATTAGAGACTTTTTAACTTATTTTGATGCAACAAACATTCGATGGAAGAGTTTATACGACTGTAGTGTATGAACAAAATATTCGAAATAACACGGTACGAGTGATGTACCGAGGACAACATTTATCGTCGCAGCTCCCGTGATTTTTTACAAACCGTCCAAAGATGTCAAAGTGCGAGTCGGAAATCTTCCCAGAATTTCTTTTCTTAAAAGAAAAGATCTTTGTGTATCGAAAGCTTACATTTTCCATTTAAAATATGCACTTCGTCAGAAAGAAAACAAGTACAGAAGACTAATCCAAAAGAGGTAGGTTTTTGTTTGAACCGGTCCTAACTAAAGTAAAAATCCGGAATTAGGAAAAAAAACCGACTGCATCTAGCGCTATACAGTTTCACTGTTCGTATGGCGAGCTTGAGCACCAGACTCACCCCGAATTCCGCTTGTTTCAAGCGTTTCGTTGCAAAGTGGTCCTGCTTGGTCCGCCGGCGTCGCAGGCCCAGCGTCCGCAGGAGGTCGCGGCCAGTCCTTTGTGGGTATGGGGATCAGCTCGTCGTCTTGACGAGATGGATTAGCGGCGGTAGGTCCTCGGCCACGGTTAGATCTGGTGGTGCGAGGCGTCCCTCCTGGCTTCCTGTCCTCTGAGGTCCGCTGAGACGCGGCGGACTGCCGCTTTGATTTGCGCGTAGATTTCGGCATCGTTTGAAATACGAGCTGCGCCGGCTGTACACTATATGAGCTAAATATGGAAACAAAGAAAACGTAAATTTCAGAATAAGTGTTGTTACTACAATATATTTATATGTTGCAGAGCTTGAAAATGGGCCTCAATACACGGCAAAAGCTCATGCGTCGCACCGGGTACCATCCAACCACTTTGCAAGGAAAGTGGCTCGATGGCTTGCCATCCTGAAAATGAGACACAAAATCAATATACTGAATGAATATATACAAAAGCAATTAAGACTGATGAGGAATAGTCACGGCCGTTCCGGTCGTATTCATTATGCGTAACAAAAGTATTGCCCATTCGTTAGTTTGTCTTTTATTTACTCCAATTACGCACGTAACGTCATGCAAACATGGCGGCGTCCAGGGACTAAAAATACGATGTAAATTTCACACAAACAAATCCCAGTAATGAACAGTTTTTGTCATTTTCTTTTCTGTAAACTTGTTTTTTCCATAAAGTAACAAAAGTTTTACGAAAAAAATGAAATAAACCTGATCATATTTGACTTAAAAGTGAATTTTCGTCAATTTATTGGGTTTTCTGTGTGACGTTCTTCGTTCGTATCGTCGACAAAAATGAACAAAAAAGACCAAAGATTCCCTCTCAACCCTGGTGGTTATGAAAAAATATCAGCTTTTACCATAAAATACAAAGGTAGATTCAACTAAAAGCGATCATAGGATTTCTGGGCCGCAATCAATTCTTTAAAAATCAGACGATAAACATCGTCAAATGCGCGGTTATTTTCATTCTTCACTTCATCGTCAACTTCGTGGGTTCACTGCTTATGCATTTGCTTTATGTGCATAGCGCGGGGAACCAGTATGTGTGGCGCTGCTGGCGCGCTATACAAAAATACAACTTTCACTCACGCAACACAACAATAAAAACACAGAAGACCGTAGAGTTCGTGTCTTTCAAAATGGTGTTTTATTTACATCAGCATGAGTTTTAAATTTCACGAGGCATCATTAGAAAAAATATGTAGAATTTGCACAAATAGATTACATCCAGGATCTACAGTTTCAACTAGGAAGCCAGTATTTTGTGCGAATGTAAACAAGGAAATTTTCAATGTGTTTGGAGTAAGTACTTGGGAGGACACACCTGATCAGCATCCACAAAAACTATGCGAGAAATGCGCCAGGAAAATTAGGCACTACACTTCTGGAGAAAGGACCTACAGTGTGAGTAACATAAAAAGACGACAAACTGTGCAAAGCGAATGGCCAAAACATTCCCGGACAGGCAAGTGCTTTGTTTGTAAATTAGTACCTCAACAAGGCAGAGGCGGAGGCTCCTATAAACCTAAATGTGACTCCAGCAGACAAGTGAAGAGTACAGACTCGGCGCTTTGCTTTCAAGGAAAGGACAACATCTTTAGTGAGTTGCCTTCACAAACATTGTCATGTATAGTGCCTCCAAGCATTGACATTCTTTGCCATCGAGGAGAAGAATTTTTGTTTATCTGTGTAATATGCCAATGCATAATCAGCCGACCAGCGGTGCAGACACCATGTGAACATGTGTTTTGTTCAACCTGCCTCAGTAAATGCTTCCAGTTTGCATCGTGTCATAAAATTAACTGTCCTACATGTAAACAGACTTTGGACTTCCAGGAGGTTACAAAAATTCCCCGTATCTTAAATGTACAGCTTGACAACCTGACAGTGATTTGCCATAACTGCACACAAATTGGCAGACTGTCCCAACTTGTAGATCATGACTGTTCACCGAACAGTACCCCAGACCACAAAGTAACCATAGTGGAAGCACCCAAGTCTTCCCTACTTCCCCAAGATGATAAAGCTGCTCAGATTACAAATGCAGCAAGGATCCTTAAAGAGCTGGCTTCTAATCACAAAGTTGGCACACAAATACCATCTGAAGTCGAAGAAGCTACCGATAAATGGATGTGCCACAAACTAAAACAAGATAAATCTCTGGTCACAATCAAAACAGGTGGACGGGTAAGTTCAAAGATAATATTAATAGACTTAAATTTTCTTTCTTCATAAAATACTTTATACATTAACCACAAAATAAAGGTACCTTTAGTTCTATATTTTTCGGTTTTTTTTCCATCATTACAAATTTCACAAAGAATCTTTATCATCTGGCGCACTAAACTCACTTTGAATTTTTTGGAACAAAATTTCTTGTGAACCAAGCCAGACAATATTTACATGAACACTGAATTAAAATGGGATACATACGTGTAGGTGGAAGATTTAAATAATTTTTTTTTCGGGGGGGGGGGGGTTCAAGTACAAGGTTGACATGATTTCTTTTCTCAGATGTTTCTCCAGCCAGTATCACGAGAGTTGAACCAATCATTTTGTGAAAAAGATCACACATTCCAGAGTGCATTTGGGCCAAAAATTTTGCCCTAGAGTCACTATTTTTTTGGATTCAGTTTTGCATGACTGATGATTCAAAAATTTTGTTTTGCTTGACCTGGCCTTGTACATTGTATGTGTTTGGACTGAGTACATGCACATCCAGATTCATCCTTGGTTTGATTAATTTTCTCAGCCAACCTATATCCAACGAGTTGTGATGTCCCAACGCAGTGATGACAAATCCTCAAAGTGTCTGGCATCTTCTGGAATGACGACGGAGAAATCTATGGCAATGATGCGTGACTGCAGCCTTGCGTGGAATCAGCTACGGAAACTCAGAAGGTATAACTGCAGGAAATCTTTGGGGGAAAAAAAATATATAAAACATTTGAATTATAATTGGTTGAACATACAAACACTTAACTAATTTACAACAGGTACATGAGTGGAGCAAACATTCCTTCAGAGCGGGCCATGCGCAAGACTCAGAAAATGCTACTCAAGGATAATCTAGCTGGCGAAACGATCAAGCTCTTTTTCAACACAAATGCAGCCGATGGGATCAATGGCATGAAGCTCAAGGAAACACCATTTGTGTATGTCAAGGACATCGGAGCAATGATTCTGGACTACCTGGACCGCCACGACCAGTAAGATAATGTATCTTCATATAACTTTTAGAATTTCATGTTGTAAATGGTATATTGTAGAGACAGTTGCACTTACAATAAACCCAAGTCTTGCGTCCACATTTTTTTCTTTTCTCCCACTCCAGGCAAGGTACCCTGACATGGCACAATGGGGTCATCCCAGCCAACGAAATATGGATTAAGGTCGGCGGAGACAAGGGAGGAAACTCATTTAAAATGGATTTCCAAATTGTGAATGTAGCCCATCCCAACTCCATAAAAAACACCGTTGTGTTTTCCTGTTTTGAAGCCACCGACTCGATGGCCAACATACGGAGAGCACTTCCCCCAATATTTGAGCAGCTTTCAGTGCTGTCCACACTGAAGTGGCGGTAAGTCTTTTCAGGTCTCTAATCCCTATTCACTTTTTTTCCTGTTTGTTTTTGTTTAGATTGAAAGACAACACAAGCAGGAATGATTATAATGTTATTAAAGCAACTCAAACACCATGGTATTTATGACAAAATTGATTCAAATGTTTTATTTCAGTGGAAGGTCCCTACGTGTGTTCCTCTTTGGGGATTACGAACTACTGAACAAGGTGTATGGAATCTGTGGGTGTAATGGTAAGGTTTTTAACTCACCTGATTTGTTCTTCCTTTCTTCTTGTTCAGCAAGAACAGCCTTTATGTTTTGATAGAAGGTTGTTGGTGACCCATCTCATGCACAACCTAAAAATGGGGGGAGGGGGGAATTTTTATTTAAAGCTTAGGATAAAGTTATTAATGGCTAGACCAGACCCTGTGTGTAGTCATACTGTGCTTAGTTTTTGCCTTATTCACTCCTTTGAAAACACAAACTGAAAAAACAAGTTTTAGCTTAAAAAAGAATTTAATGCCAACAACAATTTTGTTTCTGCCTTTCAGCTCGTTACTGCTGCGTTTACTGTTTGGCAAGCAAGAAGACAATGCAATTGCCAATCGCAGAGCGAGGCCCATGCTTGCCTCGTAACCTCCAAAACATCAGAGAGCATCACCAGCTATTCCTGGAGGATGGAGCACGACCATCACGGGCCAAAGATGTTTCATACAGCATTGTGAATCCCTCCTTAATACCCATTGAGACTGACCATGTAAGTGAATTAATGCTGCTAATATAAATACATGTACATGTGAGCCATGTGTTAAGTAGCCATGTTAGTCACTCAGATACAATTACAATATGTAATAAAGTTAACCCGCCTATGTAAAAATAGCATGTACATAAAAGTGCTACGAAACAAATCTAAACACATGTACATGTATGCATGTAAATGACATAAACACCAAACCAGTTTTAACTCTTTCTGTTTCAGGTCATAATCCCTACCTTGCATATTTCTCTGGGCGTGTACAAAAAGCTGTTCGATCTGCTTGAGAGGGCCTGCCATGATCTCGATGTCAAGTTGTTCCAGCTACGGGTCACATCTCAAGATCATGAAGAAGGAACCAACTTTGATGACCAGATAGCTGCAGAAATACAAAGGCAGAACAAGATTCAGCAAGATCTTACTGAAAAGCGGTCCGCTCTGGAACAAGCCGAGGAAGAACTCCCCCTCTATGCCCTGAGGAACAACTGTGACAAGATGGATGAAGCTTTCCGTGATACAGCTACATCTGTTTTTAAACTGCGAGCAGACATCAGAGACTTGGTAATTACAACAAATTTTTTCAGCAGTCCTATGACAATCATTTTAGTTCCTGTGCATGATTTAAAATATAATACTTCATAAAAATGCACTTTTTGGCTACCAACATTTCAGGAACAAGACGCTCTGTCAGCGAAGCTTACCTACGCAACTGGTCCCATTGCTAGTGCCCTTGACAGAGTCCTCCATGACCACAAAGTTCAGCGACAAGCGTACCATGGGAAAGCTTTCGTGGGTAACCATGTCAACAAATGCTGTGAGGTAAGAGTAACAATACATGCATTAAAACAAATTTAGATCAAGGAACAAAAAATTACATGGCTAAAAAGTATTTTCTCACGTTGCAGCCAAAGCTAATTGACGCCCTCACTAAAGTCCCCCGGAAGAGCTTGAAAGACAGCTGACAGACGATATGTCCCTTGCTGCTCAAGAACGACTCAGACGGCAGGCGTTTCAACACCGTGCAAATTTTAGAGAAGTTTTTCTGAAATTTGCAGATGTCCATAAGGGCATTAACCATGCCCTTGCTTTGACTGACGAAGATGTCCTCCGCATAGGTAAGTGCACAAACACACTTCAGCTTAAAAAGAGATGTAAAATGTACACGTATGTATGGGAAAAACACACAGACAATACATGTTGCATTTCATGCCCACAGATGTAAGTATTCGGGAACTCTTGAGGACCTACCGCCAGCTTTTCCCGGAGGAAAGAATCACTCCCAAGCTCCACCTGCTTGAAGACCATGCTGTGGATCAGCTACAACGCTTTCGTGTGGGTCTTGGCTTGCTCAATGAACAAGGCGGAGAGCTCATCCATGCAGAATTCAACAGAATCGGCCGAGTGGTTCAAGGGATGCGGGATGACTTGGACAGGCTCATGGCAGTCATGCGACGACATCATGTCTCGACCTGTCCTGAAGTATTGTGAAGAATTGGAAAAGAAATCATATAACAGAAAAAAAAGTGTCTTTCACCTAAGTAAATAAAACATACATGTACATGTTCATGTTTGGCAACAAGGTGATCACTGCCATACACAAAAGTCACAGATTTTGATGCCTTGTCTTTTCTTGTTGCTAAATTTAGTCACTTCTCAAAGTACTACAAAAAAATGCACGAATTGAAAGCCACCTCTGTTTTTGATCGGTTCACAGAAATTGGATTGAGCAGCGCTGTTTCCCAATTTTCCTGTAGGTGTCACACAGGTTCAATCCTAGGCATGAATAACAATCATGCTACTTATGTATGATAATGTCATGAATGTGTCTAATTGTTTTAATTATATTGGTCATTGGTTTGAGCAACGCCGTTTTCCAATTTGTCCTGTAGGTGTCATACAGGTTCAACCTAGGCATGAGTAACATGAAATGCTCATGCTATAAACCCATTGTATAATGTATGATAATTGTTTATAATTATATCGGTACATGTACAGATGTAATTGGTTTGAGCAGTGCCATTTCCCAATTTTCCTGTAGATGTCATAGTTCAATCCTGCGAATGAATAACATGAAATGTTCGTGCATAATGTACATGTATAATGATGTATATAAATGTTAATAATTATATTGTTGGTGGAGTATTTAAGATTTCCATAAACCATCATGACCGTTCATGTCTGTTCTTTTAAGTTTTATTAATTTATTTGGCTAAATCCGTGCCATGGTGCAGCAAAAGAATTTACAGTAAGGTAGCCTATTCGATGCTAGTAGTAATTAGATAGCTGCTAACAATGTATCGACACTCGACAGACACTTTTTTAAAACACCTCGGTCCTCTTTCTTTGCATCAAGCAGTGAGTGTCAACATGGTCAAGGATAAACTTTGTTTAACGTCCCTTCCAGTTCCAGCATGATCAGATCAGTTTAGCATGTTTAGTAATTATAGTAATATGTGACACTAACTTACGTACAGGACATACATGACATAGGCCTAGGCCTATGTATTATTTAACAATAACATCTGATCCGGTAAAATTCCTGTTTTCATATTTTTCAAACATGTAGGATGTACATATAGGCCTACATGTACGTACACGCACATGTATGTGATCATGTGATGGCATGTGTCACGTCACGACCATCTGACCATATTTTCAAGCATCCATCAATCATGTCAATGGCATGCATGCAAAATTTACACTAAATTACAGACAGTCAAAGCATAGGCCATAGACTCAACAAGCTAGTCACCATTATTATAATGATCATTTCATCATTTCATGAATGAAAATTAAAACTTAATTAACTGAACTTACCTTGAAAAAACATGGCGAAGGCACGCGGCTGCTGAGTTGTCCACAATGCATATGGGTAATAATGCATGTGCACGGCTAGCCCAGGTTGGACGTCGTCTACATTGCATTGCGACTGACGTCCAGGGTATAACGTTTTCATGTCATTGCGAACATTTGATTGAAAGCATTTTCTCACATTTTTACCTTATAGAGGAAGCTCAACTGGCGTCAACATATTCCTTGTATCCCTAATCACTCAAATTCATGGTTGAGAAGTAATGAATATGTCCCAGGAATAAAATATTTAAGGAAATTATCCGCTAATTCGTGCTTCCGATTGTAAACATCTCGAACCGACTGCTCGTGTGAAGGCTTGCGCTTGCGTGCGCGCATGCGCGAAATGCGTAGCAACTGAACGGCTCTCACGCATGCGTATTAGAATTGTGGGCGTATGCAAGTGTGTTCGTCACGCCGTCAGACAAGCACATGCAAATTCAAGTTGCAACTTTCTGAATTTCCTCAAGTGTATCGAGCACTTTGCAATGTCTTCATCTTCGAAATTTTGTGTAAATTGTGAAACGACCACGTTTGAGAAAGCCGAGCGAGGCTATAAGAGGCATTTGGTGAAAGTTTTGTCAAGCCCCGGCACATTCAGAAAAGCGTTCGGCAAGGTCATAACACCAGATGAATGTAAAACACAATTCCTGTGTTCAAAGTGCAAGGAAACATTAGTTTCCCAGACCGTCCCAAAGAAAAAGGGTTCACAGAAAAGAAGCTTTCCGAAAAACAACAACTCCACTTCTGATCCGGCTAAGCGACAAAAGACGAACTTCAAGACAACGGCGAAAAAACTCATTGACGAGTCAAAATACACGCAAGTGCTCAGATGCCTGATAAGGGGAAGCAAAAAAGCACAGAAGGCTATCGGGAAAGTTTGTGTCCAGCAGATTCAACGAGAGGTAATAAAGATTAAAAAATTCGTTATGATTGTTTTCATTTGTGTATTATTGATCTACATTATATTTGTATATGACATAAGCATTTCTGATAAGTGGGTATTACGCTGGACGTTTTATAAACGTGTGATTATGTTTAGAAAAATATTATAATACTGTACCTAATTAATCAAGTGATAGCGAAATTTATGGAAAGCGTGCAACAACGGTGGATAGACATTAACAAATTGGTGTTGTGTAAAATGTTTCAGTTCATCGGGGATATGCCAAGAACATTTTTGGTTGAAGGGACGCATTTACCTATAGTATTCTCCCCCACTGGGCTAAGCCTCTACTCATATGAGCCCTCAAGTGGTATTTGTTCACGTCGTAAGTTCTAAATTGCTCAGCGCCTATACTCGATCCAATCTTCCAATAATTTTCTAAATGAGCTAAGCGGAGTTACCATGTTGAATTCCGACGGGGATAATTATCTTTACACCTCACCGCTCCTCTTTCCCTCACCTTTGCAAAAAGGCAAGAAGGGAATAACTTTTCGGGAATAATTGTTACGACGAAAAAAATGCGGGCAATATTATAAGTATATTGTGGGCCGAAAAATGGAGCAAAGCCCGAAAAAAATTACGGTAACATTCTCTGATCTTTGCCCCCCCTTCCTCGTTCGTCGTAAGAAATCACCGCCTTTAGAGATTTATACTATATGCTAACAGTGCTAAATTTAATGGGTATTTATTTTGTCACACTATACTATACAAAACAAAATGCCCGCTGAGTTGTTGCACAATTCCGTTCAATTTTCAGGCTCGGGAAGTCAGTCAAAAGAAGAAAGGACTTGACGCAGATGCCGGTATCTTCGGTGGAAAGCTCACACTGGAACGATTACAAAAGTTCGCGTGGAAGGACCTCATTAAAGAGGCAAATTCCAAGATGCCTCTACTAGTGGCAATGATACAGGCCTCCTTACCAGCCAAATTGAAAAGGTAACGAAGATTACAGTGAACACTGTATGAGCTCTTTCCGAACTTTCTGACGTGCATGCATGCAGTATTTTATTGCGATCGTAATGAATTTCCGAAATGTTACACATTCGACACTACCCAATAACGTATTATTTTCTGCCAGAATGAACCAATGCATGCATTGTGGGAATAGACAGTTCGAATTTGTTTTCCCCGGAAATTTACCCATGATTATACTAAAAATTATGCCAATGCATTGTGGTCTTAAATGCTTTTCACACTAAAATATATTATTATACAGGGCCGGACACAACATCATAGAGAAGCGTCTGGGCACTATTCTGTCGATCATCTTTTTCACACGAGCGCCACGGAAATACAACTTCGTCCAGGCTACCTTGAGTGTTGAATTGTGGAGGCAAGGCTGTACCCATAAATTGTTCCAAACGCTCAACCGTCTAGGGATAACACAGGGCCTCCAGACTGCTCGTGCACACGTCGATAACATCGCCGCTGACCATGACAACTGTCTGGTCCAGTGGAAAACATCAGTTGAGGTATAACTATGTGAATCTATGTACAATGCACAGAAGGCTCTGTTGAATTACCACCCTGTGTATTACAGTACGGACAATAACTAATTATATATGAGATTAAATGCGCAGGACAATAACTAATTATATATGAGATAAAATGCGCAGGACAATAACTAATTATATATGAGATAAAATGCGCAGGACAATAACTAATTATATATGAGATTAAATGTGCAATACTGTATACTATAAAAAAAAAACTATAGGCCTTTACGTTTTTTCTTTAGTCTAGCGATAATCGCAACCACAAAAAAGCAGTACGGAGAGTGTCGCAAACAGGAGATGAAGGTTACGGCGTATGTTGGGACAATGTCCAAATTAATCCCCACTGTAAACATCAAGGCAAAGACAAGAAAGCCGAATTTCTGCTCTGGGCTCTGTCATTTGCTTGCAACAACCGAGTGCCGACACTCCATCTGATGGACACAACTACCATCCCTGCTTGTCAGCTGATCCCATGCATCATTCCACAACATCACGACTACGCAGAGTTGAAGAACCTGATGGTCTATCTCACAATGAAAATTCTCATGCAGCATCTCCCCGTCATGGACCCAATGAAGAGACACGTCCCCCGACGCAAACACCAGTACTCCACTGAAATGTGCAACAAGAGTGAAGTGGTAAATAACTCTTTTATCTTTATTTCGGGGGAAAAACAATCCAAAATAACACAGACTATAATGTATTGTTAAATTGTGCGAAAAAACAATGCATAAAATAATATTGGCATCGTTTGAATAGATAAAAACATTGAAATAAACAATGTCATGTTTACTACGTGAAATACAGACCAAAATGCACAGACAAATAACTGACACTACTCAAAATCAGGTCAATCTTGGAGTTCTGGAAGCCAATCCGGCATCAACTGCTGGCGTGATCCAGATAATGCAACATCTACATGCGTACGTGCCGGAACCCAATGGTCAGGTCCTCCCCATCCTATGTAGCGGAGACGGACTCAGCGTGGAGAGAATGGTACATGCAAAGAGGGCAAGAGTGAACGGGGAAAGTAAAATGCATCGACTACAAGGTCTCGTAGAAACACCACAGGAGTTCCACAAGGAAATACTGTTGCTACAGGTAATGTTTGTCGATAGATTTCTCGTAATTTCATGTATTCAGGCAGAAATTGTGTAAAAAGTTGATGATGTCTACGGGCTCGTTAGACATGGCACCGCGAAAAATAATTGTTAAAATGAATCGCTATATTATATAATCATTCCAACATCTAACCAAAAAAATAGGTCAGCGATAAGCGATCAATTCATTTCAATATTTAAATTGTAATATTGAGATAGTCAAAATAATTTAAATGAAGTTAAAAACTACTTTCTTCACACCTATTTTAGGACACAGTGAACATGCTGTACAGTGGCAGCAGTATTGCTTCCAGAGGGAGCCTCGCACACATGAAGGTGTTTTACAATCACCGATCGATGAGCACTGATGTGAAACAGAACGTGCAACATGCATGGGATTTAATAGAGGTATGTGTACAATGCTTATCAGCAGCTTCTTCTCACTACATCTTGGCTTCCATTCCCCTTATCTATCCTTTTGTTTTTTCCTCTTAAGTTTACAACAGAAGCATATGTTACCATGTTCGCCAAGACAATCCTCAACCTTGATACCATATCTGACGTGCCTGCAAATTTCCCGTCTACGGGGAGAATGGAAGAAAAGGTTGAGTATCTAAGGAGGTTGGCAGAACAAATAGTGGACTTCTGCTGGTTGGCACCTAAAAAGGAAGACATCCGAAAGGTCAATGCCAGCGCAAAGTCATCGGCAATTTCCCCAGAAGAGTCTTATGGATTTTGTTGTTGTGATGAAGGTGAGTAATAGCAATTACAAGTGTTTCCAAATTATAAAACCAGCGCTCCCGCCGACCCAATCAAAACAATGACTATGATGGTGATGATGACGAAAGACATCAATCGTATTTAGAAACAAATTATAAAATTTATACAAAAAACCTTGACGATATGTGGCTACCCACATATCATCATCATCATCATCAATTCACAATGGATTTTTTTAATATTGAAATAACGTTTTCCATCGTGCACAGAAAAAGAGGAACCCATGATTCAATGCTGCAGCTACCAATGTCCCTTCAGTTGGTACCACCTCGCATGTGTTGGTCTTGACGAAGCACCCACCGACGATTGGTTTTGCTGTGACGATTGTGAAGTCGATGGCACATACATATATTGTAGGTGCCACAAGAGAAAGGGCGGCGAAATGATTCAATGCGCTTTGAAGGACGCCTGTCGCAATCAGGAGTGGTATCACAAATCGTGTTTATCTGACAACACATTTCCGGGTAATGTATGACTCTTTTATATGAGGATATAATTTCTAGGCCACAATATGGCCGATGATAAACTTGAACTTTACATTCTTTTTTTTTTATATTTTATTTTATTATTTATACGTATTATTAAAAATCCAATAATATTATCATAATATAAGTATCTAAATACCAAATTAATAGAGATTTGCTTTTCCTGCATGTGTTCGTATAGAGGTATGGTACTGTTGCGACGAGTGTGCACTGGAGACAGAACATGATGACTATGTATTAAATTATACGAAGGCCCTGATGTGGCGTGGGTTGAACCATTTGGCAAGGAGGTTTGCTGTAAGACACGGGGAAGGAGAAACAATGAAGTCTCACTGGAAGATGGATCTACTAGAATTCTGGTCTTCTCGGCATCATAAGTACTTGAACATCGCACAACAGTTTTTGACAGGTCTGTTGCATCCTTGCTTCATTTGCAATATTATATCCACCGTGCATGTTACAAAATGCTGTATAGTATCCCGTCATTTGAAAAAGTCACCATGTGGTATCTTAAAACGTGTGTCGAATCATCGGGTGCATATTGTGAATTGAAATTCATGGGTATTTCATTTTATCTTATGTTTTATTTATAGGTGTCAGTGGCTTTTTGTCAGAGCGGCTTCGTCATGACATGACATGGAATCGGGTAGCCAACGTACACGGCAAGGAAGGGGCAAATATCGGCATGGATCTTCTGAACGAATTTCTTAATAACGAGTTCAAAGGTATCGACATACAATGATGATGTTCTTGACCCTGAACAGATCTTCTCTAGGATCAATGTGTTATCTGTAACTGACCTTAATTGTATTCATGTAACAATAATATGATTTGTATATCTTTTAAAGACATGCTGCTACGATCTCGAGGACGATATACCCCCAAGCAGGTCCAACGCTGTGCCCAAATGAGTGGCGCTTTCGGAAAGCAAATCGACAGGCTGATTACGGACGGGGGGCTTGGTGATTTAGTTCAGGGCAACGGTTCAAAGACACGCCACGCCAATAAGAAAGATGTCCTGGATTTTGTCAAAGAATTCCAAAAAGACCTCCTGTTCGTCTACCACCCAGGCCGTTATCATCGCGGATTTGAAGAATATGCCTACAGCACGGGTATAAAATCACCGGATCTGCTCGGGAGAAAGCTTCGCAAAACCGCAGAAGTTATGGACATGTGGAAAAATATAACCGACTAAAGGTAAACTAGTAATTGTGATCTCTCTACGCTTAGCATGGAAATTAAATGTGTTTTTCATTATATAGCACTGAAATTGAGCCGCACTTATAATGTCACTCCAGAGAGTGCACTGAAACAAACTACAGTTATCTCCGTTATCAAATGAACAACAGACAACACAAGAGATTGGATACTGCTTATTTACATTCATTTATTGGGTGATCTCCTCTTTGCATTTTTCTCTTCTCGTTTCTTTTTCTGATCAACACAGATTACTCCTCGCACCCATTGCAACATTGTTGGCAGCTCCCCCTGACAAGTTTCTGCATGCCAGAGACGTATAGATGTTGCAGGATAACTGCCCTCACGCACTGGTTTGATGTTACAGATGCACAGACCTCCATCATGCTATGGTCAACCATCCGTTTGTTGACAGACCGCGGATAAAGATAAAGGTAGCTATGCCCCTGCCGTCCGTCTCGTGCACAACGGCCAACTTCCTGCCAGTAGCTCAGTACATCTCGAGAGGGGCCCCAGTGGATGACGAAGTCTACGTCATTGATTTGAACCCCCATCCCAAATGCCATTGTAGCTACCACACATCGAAGGGGAGATGACGACTTGGCGAAGGACGATACAATCCGTTTTTGGCTCTCTTGGTCTGTGCTGCCGTGGTACATTTCCACAATTCTGTTGTGGACGGTGCGATCTGAGCCTGCCCAGGCCATCTCATTCAGGCTGCTCATGAGCCACGCATAAATGTTTGCGACTTCGTTTACTTGCCTACAAAGAAAATACACAGTAGATCATTATAATACCCCAGAGGAATGATTAAAAAAGTGAATCAAGATATAAAACCATATGAGGTGTTGAAATGTTACCTTGAATAAATGATTGCCTTCGGCGCCTCTTTCCCCTTTAACAGGTCAGCGTACCACTTAAGCTGCTCTGCAAAGTTTGCATTGTCAACCCGTTCAGCATGAATTTTGATGTTGGGCCTGACAAATAAAAAAACATCACAATTTTTGAATGCACGAACAAATTCATGTTACGGCCGGATAATATTTCGATGCGGCTGCAACGACATTTTTATGAAATTTCGTGACGTAAAATTCGTTTGCCATCTCCGTTCGCGTGAAGTGTGAACCGGTCTTTAAGGAGAGGAATTTTGTACAATTTCATCTTTAATTCGTTTCATGCTTTATTACTCACCTGTCAGGCAGCACGGCTATGATTTCAAAAGACGATACTTCAAGATTTAAAGTGTGTATGATGTCTTCAACCATGCTTTGAGTTGCAGTCGCAGTTAGGCACACGACGGGTTGTTGGGACAGAATTGATCGGATGGTTGAAATGTTTTTGTATCCATCTCGAAAAGTCCCCCTGATAAAATAATGGGAAAAGTTGGTCATGCATTTAAAAAAATTAAACAAAAGACGGACAAACTATCGACTTCGTTTCCACAGATTTAGACGCATATGAGTTGTGAAAAATGCTCCTTGCAAGTATGGTCACTTTCATTTGTATGGGATGACCGCTCAACTTCAACATCTCTCGTCGAAGGCAAATTGGAAAAGATCGACCATCTATCTCATCAATTACGGTCCCCTCAAACTCTAAAGTGGAATCGTGAATTCGGACCAGACTTAAACTTGTTTATGGACGCTTCACCCGTCCCGCTTCCAGAATAGTATATAGAGTAAATAGTTATAATTTTCATAAAATCTTCTCAACCCACTCTGTCTGCAAGGGGTTATAAGCCAGTGGGAGCGGAAAAGTGGGGCTCCTTAAGGCCTTTTTTCTTGTCCTTTTATTTATGTCAGGATGCATTTTTGTGTGGTCTTTAGTTGTTTTAAATAATACCGAAGAAAGGATAATAAATGACAACGCAATTTCAAGTATCCTACCACTTTGTCATGCAGTGTGCTTCGTCTATAACTACGGCAGTAAGGCGGTTTGCCCATCTTTTGGCGGCAGACCACCACTTGTGTCGCAGTATGGCCTCCGGAGAAGAAAATATCAGTTGAAATTTCCCTTCCGTAATTTCTGCAATAAAATATAACAAGATATCAGAAAATCTATACTATACTAATTGTGTACGCTAATTTTTCCCAAAAGGTTTGAGTGGTTTCCCGCTTATTCCGTCAGAGAAAATTGTCTTATGGTCACATTCTGTGTTCAATGTGTTGAACAATCTTCCCACCTTCCTTGGTAGCATCATCAATTTCATCAGCTCGCATTATCGCGGCACACGTGACACCTCGGGAGCTCCACCTTTCTACCTGGTCGAGCATTAGGGACCTCAGTGGTGAAATGACAAGGGTGATGTGCTCTACATCAGTCTCTATCTGGAAAAAAAGAGATGAACGGTTCAGGTTTGCGCGGTCATGTTTTCTGTTTTAATAGTCGTAATAATACCTTCACTTCAAATTCTTCCATCTTAACTTTTCTAAAGAATTTTAGATAATTTTGCTATTAAATGAGGGTGATTTTATAATCATTAATGGGCAAATTTATAAGGATGATTTGTTTTAGGAAACTTCATTTCTTAATAAAGGATAGCACTTTTCATGCAATACCTTTCATTTCAGCAATTCAAATACAATACAAAGTTCTAGTACAGTAATATCGTTGTTACATAATCTCACAGAATGTTTAACTTCATTAATTAATCACGTTTGTTTTGGAAACACGGTTTAAAAATGTCCTCTGTATTTTTTCTCTACAGTTCTGATTTAATTTAAAGATGATAACGTTAGGCTATAAGCATTCACGCAAAAATAGACTCGCACAAATCTGGAACTGACAAATATTTGCTGTCGATAGGTCAAGTTAAAATAATGGTCACAAACATCAAATTTTCAAATATCGACGGCGTGTTTCTGGAAGATGGATATTCTGTATATTGAACATCGCACACAACAGGCACAATTTCTGTTCAGCAATTCAGGTTCACCATGCTGGGAAGGTTATGTTTGAAAAACCTACACTTTGAATGGGAAATAGTTTTTTTCTTGCACGCGCGTACTGTCGGCGTTTTACATTTAATAAAAATAATAGGCCTAATGTCATTTTCTCGGTTGCTCAATTTGTAGTAAATAGAAAACACAAGTATTTAGAAATTGAAAAGCTCATTCTAAAGTGTCTTGATGAGTGTTACTTACTTTGTCCATGATTGATGACAACCATCCGTAGCAATCACTCTTCCCAAATCCAGTGGGCAGAAGGCCGAACACATTTTTTCGCCTTTCTAAGACAGATCTTATGATCTGAATTTGCTCTGGCTTCAGATTGTACGGGACGCCACATTCCGTCATTACATTATTAATCGCCTCCTCCATCTTACAGAAATTCGATCAACTCGAGCAAACAAGTCTTGAGGAAATTCAGAAAGTCGCAACGTAACTTTTGTATGTCTTTTCTGATTCAACACTCACGGCCGGCGTGACGAACACACTTGCATACGCCCACAATTCTAATACGCATGCGTGAGAGCCATTCAGTTGCTACGCATTTCGCGCATGCGCGCACGCAAGCGCAAGCCTTCACACGAGCAGTCGGTTCGAGATGTTTACAGTCGGAAGCACGAATTAGCGGATAATTTCCTTAAATAATTTATTCCTGGAACATATTGATTACTTCTCAACCATGAATTTGAGTGATTAAGGATACAAGGAATATGTAGACGCCAGTTGAGCTTCCTCTTTAAGGTAAAAATGTGAGAAAATGCTTTCAATCAAATGTTCGCAATGACATGAAAACGTTATACCCTGGACTCCGTCGCGTTGTACACAACGGAGGAGTCCACTGGGCTAGTGCACGGCATGGCACTGCACGCGATGTAAATGTACTGTACATGTAGGCCTACATTATACATGTACATTGTACGTAGTGCAGTGCACATGGGCCGTCATCGCGTGGTAGCCTACCCCCATACTTGGATTTTCAGCAGCTTTTTGCCACGCAAATCGCAACGGCCCAGGAAAGCTATGATTTGATAGGTGTTTAGTAAGCCTCGAAGAGTCGACTGGTGATAACATTTTTCATGAATCCACCGGAGTCGAGGAATCATTTGCCCTTTTTGTGAAGGTCGAGGAACGCTAGCGCCAAATTTAACGGTTTTCGTTCGAATCGCTGGTATTTCGCAAGACCACCTAAATTGTTTATTCCCCAAACCACGGACACCAGCCAACTAGTTATGAATAAATCATGAGCTTCTTTTGTTAAATGGCCAATTTACATAATTTATGCTAACCCTAGGAGGTCAGGTGATCACGTTTTTACCCTCCCCGGAATTCAAACACAAGACGCGTCGCCCAAACGCAAACCCGCCCAGTGATTATGACGTCATAATGCATAAATTATCGGCCGTTCACAGATAACCAACAGAGGGCGCACTTTTACAGCGCTGAAACAGCCGTGTATCACCAAAGGATAATAGATGAGATTATGGAAATATCTCAAGACCGGAACTTCATGTAATTCTTTATATTAAACTACAGCAAAATACTAACAAAAATCTACAAAATGCCTAGCAAATATTTAAGTTAAGACATGCACATTCTCTAAGGTAAGTGTAAATATGGAACTGTAGAAATCATGAAAAAAGTGAAAATAATTACCTGAAAAAAAACAAGAAAAGGAAAGACGTTATAAATTGGATATGTCTTCCCTGGTCTCCAGTCAGAATTTGAATGACCTGGGGACCGATACCCGTTGCGCGCAGCGCTTGTAATTGGCAGACGTAATGAATATTAATGAAATGAATAAGCATAGCAATTGATAATAGCTAAGCTAAGGGGGAGGGGATCTTTCATACCTGTGACATATAGAAATAAAAAAAAAAAGATTCGAACGGCTTGACATGAACATGCAGCTTAGTAACCCATTTGGATTTCGTTGGCAAAATAACTACTACAGGTCAAAATATTTCTTTTACCGCCATAACATTATTTCTTTCCATACAAACCTACGGGGGGAAAAAAGGTTCGCAAAACGCAACTTTGCCCTACGCGCTGAAAAAAAAAATGGCGCCGCCCATGGAGAACGCGCTTCTGTACGCGTTGACGATCTAGTCTTTTGTATTCTATATCTATTCAATAACTTTGAATCCTTCGAAAACGCAGTGGATGGACCTGGAATCAGTCTAGGTCTCAGGTCTCTCCCAACTCTTCCTCTCTTGCTGTTGAAGGTGGACTTGTGCACGGAGCCCATATACACGATTGCCTATACTTTGATGCGAGTACATGTACACAAACAAGTCCACCCAGTATGACACTGTCTAGGCACTGTCTTTGGCACTGTCTAGAATATACATAAATTTCAAACAAACTGTGGAAACTCACTGCTAAAATCTTCCAAAACTGGTATATTTTTTCGACATCAACTTCAGAGATGAGGGGAATTGAGAGTAAATGACGTCCAGCGCAAAATCCAGGGCGCTTTTAAGTTGCAGTCGAGATACACGTACACTTGAATGCGTCGTTTGATTTTGCAATAATTATTGATTTTTAATCTCTATGTCATGAGGAAAGAGCGTACAAAACAAAAAGGTTAGAGGGTTCGGTGTAGGTTTGCTCACATCGCCCTCTTTGAATATAAACCGATAACTAGAACTACTTTAAGCCCATATAATGTGCCTTTGTTAACAGCAGTATATTCAGGCCTGGATTTTTTTTTCGTGGGGATTGCAGTCGAGGAGCTACAGCAAAAACCCAACAGCCTCCCCTTAACTGTTTAATTATTACATTTTTTGATGTAAATGGGAATGTTGCCCCATTTGGTAAAACGACACACAAACATTCGTTAGAAAGGTATTATGCGCAACTCGCGGCATATTTATTTACTTCTCTGCCATTCACTCCCCCCTCCCGTGTCGTAGGGAACAGCCCTGATGCGTGTTGGTGTACAGTCACAATCTCATGTCGATTTCAAATGCTGTGATGTACACTTTTGCATCAATTGATTACACCGTTGACTTTGGACTCAAACACACTCGAGTTGTTAAACCAAATAACTGATACTAACAAGAATTCCATAGTCCGTAGTGTGTACGATTTGCATATAGGCTGCAATGTAAACGGTGAAACGAGCAAGGCGAAAGGTTGCTTTATTGCGCTAGCTCCATGCCCTAGACGCAGGTGCCAGCAATTAAACGTTTGCACTCATCTCTGATAAATTTGCTTAACCTATGAACAGATAACATAGGCAGGATAAAGCGCCTGTGCATTGAGGGAGTTAGCATAACACAACACACTTCAAAGATGCATTCAATCTGTATATAGTCCTACAGTGAAAAATGCAGCCAGCTTCTGCAAAGAGGAGGTTACCCATAGAGCTATATTAAATTACTAGAGCGCTAACTTGTCATTCTGCGCGTGGAGACGCTTTGAAGCCGTCCTGGGCGCAGACATTTTGAATTCACGTGCGTGTTTGTAGAACATAATGAAATTAGATGGATTGAATTTTAAAAGTGTACTCTACATGCAACGCGCAAGTAGAACTTACGCAAACAACGCAAACAAATCTGACGTCAAAAAGCATCTGCAGCGAATACGCGCACGCGTTGCGCTGTTAGCGTAGAGCAAAATGACCCGCTCATTTGCTGATCGTGCGTTTCGGTTTTGGGCGTATTGGCTTCGATGACGCACCGGTATGGAAAACAAACGCAGATAGGCAAATAACCGTACAAAAGCCGTACAAAATGTCTAGGTCTCCATAGGTTTGTGCACAAACATGGGGTTTGTGCACAAACATGGATGCGCCCATCAGGCATTACTTTGTACACGAAGTTAGCGCTCTAGTAATTTAATATAGCTCTATGAGGTTATTCTAGGACTTCGAACTTGGGTTCGCTAGGGCAACGTTAGTTCAGTTTGAACCACGCCCGCTGGCCATGAAATAGCATTAGAACAATTGGAGCGGGAAGGTAACACAACTGTGAGTTTTTATCCAATGTGTTTATCCCATAATATAGTAATCTGTGGTGAGCGCGCGCATAAGACGATTTGCACATTAAGAAGTCTTGCCTTATATATTTCTTGCGCGAACAAGTACCTCACGTCAAAGGAGCTCTCAAAATTGGTAAAAACGTGCCCTCTTTTGTTGGGGCGCGGGGCCCATAGTTGGGACTACCCGACCTGTGCAACTGCTACGAACTAGACAGTACCAGCCTTGTGAGTGCGAAGACTTTGTGTTGTGCGTTGATAAAAGGGTGGGTATTATTTCACTTTTTCACTTTTTAATGTTCTGCCCCCTTCAAAATATGTAGTGGCCTACCAGAAACAACAATCAAACTGTAAAACAAAAATTAGAAAAGCCCAACCCTTATACATGCCGCCAAAAAGTTGGCTCGTTGAACTGACATGTTCTTGTAATTAATAGATTGCAACAATATTGCAAGGTAAATTGTAAGGTACCAGACTATAAATATTAAAAACCATTTGCGCCACACAGGAGATCAGCTGTTCATAGTTTGTGGACATAGTTGGCGGTTTTAAGTCATTAAAAGCAATATATTTTGCAGTTTAATGATTACTTAAACAAGTTAATTTCCTTTTTAGTAGCCATTTCTTGCAACATGATTGTGAAAAAATTGTGATTTGGTCTATAGTTAGGTGATTGTTTTTCCACTCACTTTCCCTGAGAATAGGACTGCCATCCTAATTTGAAACTTGTTTTATGGACCTTTTCGTTGTTTGTCTGGAGCTATTATCAATAATAACGCAACGTAAACATCTTTTTTTTATTGTGATATCACCTTTCGGTACAAGGTGATTAATTTCCAACGTAATGATGCTAATTAAGTTTACAATTTGTGACCTCCACTTACTTTGCCAATGTTGAAATATGCCTTGCAGTAAACTTCATGGATAATTTGTTTTGTAATTAATATGAGGTGGGTTAAAAACATTGGTATTAATTATATTTAGTGCTTCATCAGCCCAAGTCAACATTGTTGAAGCTACATGTACTAACTGTCGATCTTATTGAGCGAAGATAGCCAGGTTCTTCCGAGAATACTCTGGTGTAACAATTTCACAACACCTGATGTAATGTGCAGTGGAATTCTGCACAGGATGAATTCGAGGATAAACTATAAGCCATGGGATGACCATTCACTTCATCAGACCAGGTAGATAAGTATATGAGTGTATGGAAGACTAAGCCCAAGACTAGGCAAATCTGACGCTATATTTGGGTAATATAACCACAAAAGCAGATGCCACGATGGATGATTTTCAACAGAGCCGGCCATGGACATCTCTTAAATAAGTAGTCCGATGCATTTAGCATGAGTCATGCCCGCAATGACTTTTAAGTTAATAGACATTTAATAGTCTCTGCTTTTCCCTTTCAGTTCAGCATATGAACATGTTAATTTGTCTGACATAATTGAATTTGTTTAACGCTTGGACTAATACTAACCGAGATTAGTGCAAGTTTGGAAAAATGGGAAAAATTCAACAAACCGCAAACAATTTAAAGTGCAATTCTCTTCTTTTGGCAATTTTCAACGGTCCATTTAATTACAGTCACTTACTGCGCGTTCAATGGCGAGCTACTTGCTGTATACTGCAGCTCGCACACCATAGCAGTTGTGGATCTGGATGGAACGCGGATTGAGGAGGCCGATGATGAAAAAGTTAATATAGAACCAATGTATTTCCATGGCAAGAAGTTGGTTACAACGTGTTTTAATACTTGGACAGAGTATTACGAACTTTGGTATGTCGATCCAAAGATGCATGGAGGTGTTTATGCTAACAGCGGTTTCCATGGGACTAATCTAGTCACAGATATCCTTGCAGACG